ATCCTTACAAAAATACTGGCCGAAATATAACTACAGACAGTTTCTTTACATCAGTAAAACTTGCGAAATCCCTAAAATCAAAAGGATTGAGTCATGTTGGAATAGTAAATCGTGCAAAAAGAGAAATTCCCTCTAGTTTCAAAAATGTAACAAACGAACTTTTTTCTTCAGTTGTGATGAAACACGACTATATAACACTTAAATCATATCAAGGTAAAAGGAACAAAAACGTAATTTTGTTAACTACACTCCATTCATCAGTTGAATTTGAGTCTAATGAAAAGAAGGTTCCTGATGTAATACAGTTTTACAATTCTACAAAATTCAGGTTATATGTTTTGGATCAAATGGCAAGAAAGTACTCCGTGAAAGCACCATCATGCCGTTGGCCAGTACATGTATTCTAGAATATTTTGGACTTAGCAGGTATAAATGCGTGGATTATGTATAAGGAAGTTACAAAAGAAAATATCAGCAGAAGGGATTTTCTATTGCGTTTGGCAGAAGAATTAAGAGAAAAATATATACAGTCAAAAGTCGTTAATCCGGACTCGTCGGGACTTCGGCGATTCCGGATTATCGATTTTTTCCGGATTATAGATCATCAATTTAAATCTGGTAAGATTGCATGCAGAAATTATAAAATTAAAAATATGAAACCATAATCTAAAAGGTATCAAAATTTAAAAAAAAAAAAAAAAAAAAAAAAAAGGCTTAATATTTATTTGTTTACTTTATTAAACATTTCTTTCAATGTAAGTTGTTTAAGTTGCTTCGTTTTTTATGTGATAATACATTCTCTTTAATTCTTTAAACAGACATAATTTCTTGTTCAGTAACAAAGTTCCACTGTTCAAGTCCTATAATTGCTGTGTCGAGAATACCGACTAATTTGTAAATCGAAATTTTTTCGTTTTCAGTAACCTCTGTTACTTTCTTCGCTATCGGAAGCGAATTATAATGACGAGGAATTTGATTTAAATCATATCAAAGATGGAGTACATCGAGATGAAATACTACATTTAATAAGGAATTATAAGCCAAATAAAATAAAAACATCTGCCCTGAAGATAAGGATAGTGCTGACGGATCAACTTCCAATTCATTGCGCAGCGTTAAACATAAACAAATATTAAAGCTTAGATAAACAAAGGATATGCCTTTATCCATTTTTTGTAGCAATTCCACTTTTTGTTTAATGAACTTCGAAACATACTTTCGCTTTGTAGATCATTTACATATTAATAAATATATATCAGAAATTCTATTTGACATAATCGAAAGTTCAAGCTTACTTTTATAAAATTGCTCTAACAGTCTGCAAAAAATAATAAGCCGGATCCAATTCAAAGATTAAGGAACAACACAGTCTGCAACATTAACTGAATTAGATAATTTTATCTTAGCTTATACCATCCATTATACATTAAACGCGCAAGCGTAAACGTATTATGCGCATGCACACACACATATTCGCAGCCGTAAAGGTCTTACGTGCATGCGTCAATGCGGCGCATGCGCAGAAAGTTTGTAGCTTTGAGGTTCGGATTATGGGTGTCCGAATTAATGACTTTTGACTGTATCTAGTAAAAACAAATTTGTTCTCTCTTCAAGTGGCTTTGTGGATGGACAAGATTCAATAGAATCAAAAAAAAAGGAAGAAATGTCAAGTAAGGAAATGCAAAGGTAACAAAACTTATAATATTTTGCGACAACTGTAATAAATATGCGGATATTATACACAAAAATCAGAAAGATAAGCGTGTGTGCTAATTGCTGCGCTGACTAATATATTATCTGTGAATAAAATATTTCTATATATTTCTATTACTATGTACTCTTTATAGCAAAAAGTTTGTTTTAAAATACTTTAATATTTGGATTAAAAACCACTTTTTTTGAAAAAATTTGCATAAATATTTATACATTTTATTTTCTGTGTTTCTGAAATGTAACCTATCAAAAATGGGGGTGAATTACATTTTCTGATGGAAATATTTAAATTCTTGTTCATTATTTGACTACATACCTGCAAAGTCTCTATAGTCTTTAAAATAAACTGTAGTTGTTACAATTTGCATTATTTTAATTTATTTTTCACAAATATATTATATCATATAGAGAAATATGCAGCTATTTTATCAAGGGGTCAACATGACACATGCCGTAATTCTAGGTATACGAAGACCACCGTAATTCTAGTGTTAATATTAAATCAAATACCTAATCTCCAAAATGTACTGAAAATTATTTTCCAAGGTTTACAAAAAGAAAAAGTGCAATAAATCATATCAAAAGTTGTTTACCTTTTTTTGGGGGGGACATCAAGGATATTTACCCCCTATGATTTTTTTTCTGATAAAACAGCTTCTTATCCTAAAATGGCTCAGAAGAAATCTCTGAACATCAACTATAGGCTAACAAATCTTTATTCCTGCATGATGATTACATACCTGAATAGGTTTTTCTTTTAATTGATGATTTTTGTGCCAAAAAGAGACACTCATGCTTCCTGCACTCTTGACTTTGTTTTACAGTCTTTAGTCTAAAACTGAATTTTACTATGGAAGGACAAAGATGTAACATATTCAATGACATAGAAGAAAATTTATGAATAGAACTATCCATGATCCCAAAGGAAGCTTAGCTGGATTGCTGCATGAATTATAAACAATATTGGGATTGATACATAATTCAAAGAAGAGAGTCTTCAAAGGTGACTGGATGAAAGATCTGTTAGTCTGTGCAAAATATATAAAAAGTAAAATTGAGAACATTTTGAGTAGACTTCAGTGATGCACAGATCTATTGTTCAATGTAGGTGGAATAAAAGAGCAGGTTAAATATCATAGGTAAAATCTGAATATTGAGAATTCTGAAATAAGCTACTGAGTTCCATGTTAATGGCAGGAAAAGTGGACAAAATTCACAATAAACTTGTAAGTGGATCTGAAAAATACATTATAGACTTGTATGTAACTTTAAAAATGTTAAAAGTGTGCCCCTTTCACATAACTGCAAGAATTGGAACTTTTTAGTGTACCATACTGCCTGCAGCTCTTTTTCTGGTTTTGTTCAAAACAGCATTAGTGTTCTGTGTAAGGTTTGCTTTTTAACTGCATTATGTTTACCACTGGCTATATTAATCCAAAAAATTATTAGATTTATTAATTTAAGTACTAGAATAGTAATATAGATTTAAAATGCATTTCAGAACCTTGTGGTATTAAAAGTTCGCAAAGAGGAAAAGAGAGGACATATTCAGGATTTAATGTAAACTACTGATGAATAAGAACTTGTATAAGTGTATCTTTGAGCCATTGTGTTTTTTAGTTATATTATTGCTGTCACATCATACAAATAAATAAAATGCTTAGTAAAAAATGTAATTAGCTAAGTAAAAATATTCATAAAAATTTTTGAGTACAATCATGTCATTTTTTATAAATAGCTAAAATTATCATTTTTTCTCAAATTCTTACAACTCAAAACTTTACCTTCATACATTATTTTGATAGAATTTAATGTCTACTTAATACATTTGTTTCCTAAATAATGATTTTTAGATTCGTATGTGTAAAATTACTCATGAATTGTTTTTTGAATCAATATCAGAGTTATATCTATAACAATATTTTGAAGCCTTGATATAAAGCATTGTTCCTGATTTATTTTTAAATTAGAATTAAAAGGGAATGATATATAGTAATGCTAGTAAAGTTGAATAACTTTTTAAATAAAATTTTCAGATTTAATTTTGAAACACATCGTTGCTAGGTGAATACTTTATATACTTAAGTTTTTAAAAAAAATTACAGGTTGATGTGATAATATGCTTTTTAGAATGCAGTGAATATAGATAAAAATACCTTTAAAAGAATTGATAAAGTAATCGTCCAGACGGTATAGTGGTTAGAGTTACGGAAGGGCCCGAATTTGAATCCTGGGAAAAGACATGCATGTTTGTAAATGTACAGTGTCGATGCAGCATGGCGGTGCTCTAAATATATAGCAAGTCGAAGGTCCTCTCGTGTGGTTTGGTGGTAGGGAAGATAGGTGAGAGGACCACCCCTCAGGATGCTGTCCCTCAAAATTGGAGGTTGAAAATAAAAGTCCAACCTCTCTTTGGTGTAGGCTCTGGAAACCATTGTTCCATGTAATATGGATAAGAGAACAACAACAATTAATAAGTTCACATTAATCTGTTCAGGAAATTTGGGATTATTGTAAAATTTAAAACTTTATTATTATTTTTATGTTACATTATCTCTTTACAGATGGGAAGAAGTTCTGTTTAATGGAAAGATATGTGAATAGCGCATTGCATATTTATGAGGATTACTTGATTAAAACTATACAAAAGTACAAAATTTGCTCAAATTTTACAGGATGTCATATGCAGTCATCTCTCATTTAGTGCAGCGTCATTTAATGCCCATTTTAAGATTATAATTAATTTAATTACAACTTCAAAAAATTATCTTGGAGTAAATTTAGTTTATAGTATTTTACGTAACCAAACATCTTTGCAGATTCTGGAAAAGTTTCACAATGAATGTAGAGTTGAACTATGTGGCAGTCTTGAGAGTGAGTGATATTAATGAATATTTTGAATATAAGAAACCACTAGGTGATTGATAAAGCACCAAATCATGACAATCTAATTTTCATAATTTTGATCTGTATTACATAATTTTTCTAGTGTACCAACAAAGATATTATGCTGTCACCTGAAGTAGACAATTTTGGTTGTATTTTAAACACGTATAAGAAAAGCTGATGTATTTACTTAATAAATTGCTTGTTGTTGGATACAACTATTTAATCATTAATTTTCCTTACAGTTTGGTTCACTTTGAAAATACTGTTTTAATTTTTATGAAGTGTTTTTCTATTTTACTGATTCTTTTTTCCATCCTTCATGTTTCTTTCCATTGATATTTTTACAGTAACTTAAATGCTAATTAGTAGTAATTTTTTCTTTTTGTGAATGAAAATAGGATGAAGAACGGCTTGCAATGATTGAAGAGCAGCGCAGAATTGACGAGGAGAGAAAGAGACTTATGAAAGAAAAGGAGAAAAAAATGAAAGAAGAGCAACAAGTTATTTTAAACAAAGGCAAAGTTAGGCCTAAACTGTCATTTTCATTAAAACCTGTTGGATAATAGCATAATGGAGGAAACATATTTAATAAAAAAATGTAAAATGTGTGTGTTACTTGAAGTGCAAGATGAGTTCTGACTGTATAAAGTATAGATACGAGTGTTGGAATGGAATCCAGTAAAGCATTCTGAATGGCATAATTTTTTTTTGGTATATGTAACTACTAAACTCATTTTTTTTTGTCAAGTATTTAAATTATAAGAGAAAGTTATTTTTCCAATTTATCAAATAAACATTTGTATGTGAAACTGATCATTAGAAAAATGGAAATTGCAGTTTCATGTCTCTGTTCTGACAGATTAGAAGGATAATATTCATTACTGAATTCCAAATAAATCATTCTAAAAATTTCTTCAGTAGATTAAAAGAAAATGTAGTTTATTTATACTAAAATTTCTGTAACTTGGCAGCCGAACTTATAAATTGTTCTCTTCTAAGAAAGATAAAGTACACTGGTTAAAAGTGCCCATTGAATTACTTAAGTTGTAATAATGTGTATAAAATGCATGTAGATTAAATAAAGAGAAAAAAAAAAGTATTTTAATAACAAAAAGTGCAAGCCAAGATGTGTTTTGGCTGCTATTAAAATGTTGGACAATTTTTTAACTGTATCTTTATTCCATTATATCTTTATACAAATTGAGTACATTTTTAATGTAAAGAGTTATATATTTTTTTTTGTACCTGTCTGGTATGTTATTTGGATAAGTCAAATGGTGAATACGTTAAGAATATTGTATTGGACTCTCAAGAAGATGAATGAGTAGTAAATTATTACTGAACATGTCTCAATTCATTTCATTTAATATGCATCATCATCTACACTTTTTAAGGAAGGGATTGTGATTAAATTGTGCTGCATAACAGTTTCTTTTTAGGACTCTTATGTTAATGTTGTGTTTTGCATAATTTAAACAATCTAATTTCCTCTTGTCCTAATACTGACTTTATCTGTAATTTTTTTTTTATTTTAATAGGATTAGTCTGAGCTGGATATGATGTATGATAATAATAATGAAAATTAATATATGCTTTTTCAGATTTGGAATTTTGTGTTAAATATTTTGTTGATTTTTATAGGAGAGTATATAAATGGACAGAATTTTACTTTGGCTTTTAAAAATAAAAGTTTTATTGAAAAACTGTAGTTTCTAGGGGGAAAATATCATAATGTAAAATTACAACTACAAAAATATGTGACTAAATTCAATTTTTACATTACTTTTTTCTTAGATTAAGTTATTAATTTTTTCTTTTAACATTTAAAAATTTCCATATTTTCTTCCTGTGGGAAAGAGTCACAGTTTTAATGTTTTGCTGTATTTGCATTGAGTTTTTACTTGCGTCTTCATGTTTATATTGATTAAATGTATATTAAAAGTTAAGTCAGTATATTGTTTTTATTCCTTCACATTTTCCTTCTGAAATGTCATTTTGGCTTGAAGAACTAAGAGTATGGTGAATTTCTTAATCACAAATCATACTTAACTTGTACAGTATCATCATTGTTTTCTGTATTGTTTGGTTAAACCGCAGTAAATAAAAATGTTATAATTTGTGAAATTGCATCATTGTTATTGATAAAATGTTAATTAGGATAATTTTAACATAAATTATCCAAAATTTCTCATTGAAAATTGTATATTTAAAAATAAGTGTTCTGGATTATTTTTTTCACGTAACTTTCCTTGAGAATGTTTCCTAGTTTTGAAGATCAGATACATTCATATAAAATCCCTAATTTTTCAAAGAGTAATTATGGAAATGAATGAATAATGAAAGAATTTTATGTCATTTCACTATGAATCTTATTATTTAATTACATTTTGTTAACATATTTGTAAGAGCTAGGTTTTCAAAACTAAAGCCCAGAATTTGCAGTCTGGGACATGTGCAGTTGCAAGAATTGTTTTAAAAATCCAAATAAGAATTTATTAAATCTAATTGCTGATGTAGACATAATTACAAATCTTCACTTTCTGTAGAAATTTTTAAAGATTGTCAAATAAGTGTATTGTTTCATAGTTATTAAAAAAGTAAATTTTCTGAATTATATGTAAATCAAAATATACATTTAGGATTTTAGGTGAAGGTTTTAGTACCTCATTCAAAATATCCACCTAAATTTGGTGTAAATATTTTTTACAGCCCAGTGTCCTCAGAAATGTTTATGAATTTTTAGCAATGACAATTGCATCGTGCTTTTTCTTGTGGGAAGGCTAATTTTGAAACATACACAGCAGAAATAATACTTAAATAATGCATTGTTTACGTATTGAAATCCATATTATTGCTGCCAAATGCTCCAATTCTAAAAACTTCAAACCTTTGTCTTTACAGAATCTCATATAAGTTAAAATTATTTCTAAAATTTGCATTTTCCATTACATTAAAATTGCATTTAAATTTACATTTCAGATCCATTGAAGAACTTTTTTTCTCACAATTTAGTGGTCTCATATCTCCTTCCGGATTCCTGAAATTAAAACTAGTTTAGCAGAGAATACTTAAAATACACAATATGTTTTTAAAATTCTCACCCCCCCCCCCCCCCCCCCCCCCCCCCCCTCTTACCGTTTTTTTTTTTTTTTTGTGGAACAATGTGTAAAATTGACGTATGCCAACAACTTTTAACCAATTCCTATTGGGTAGAATAATTAGGCACACCAGACCTCAGTAACATCCTGCTTCAAAATCTATATCTAATGTTCTTCATAAATTTCATATAGCTTTAAAGGTGTTGACAGAAAAGACTAACTTTTAAATCAAATCATTTACAGTATGCTAGCTTTTACTTTTTGTTTACAATACACGCTATCAATAACACATTTTATTTTTATATTGCATTAGTTTTTAACATACATTATTCATGCAATCAAGATAGTAGACTTCATTCAGTATACTGTACTTTAAAAGACTCTTAACATATGTTTCTCATGCAACCTTCACTTAGCTTTAACCTTTAAAAAAAAAAAAAAAAAAAAAAAGCTTAAATGCATACCTTAGTTCCTATATTTTGACCTGTATTTATGTCAAAATGTTTAATATTTACTGTCCTTTGGACTAAATAACATGAGCCTTTTATTCAGAAAAATAAAATTCTTAATAAAAATAAATTAATAAATAAAATTCTTAAGGTAAATGAATGCATTAACAGAGCTTCTTAGCTGTACTTAGATATTCCCGCTTAACGTAAGACTAGCAACTTCTTACTCATATTTTAACATACATAAATTTTATGTATTTTTTATTAAATGTAATTTATGTATGTATGTAATTTTTTGTTAAAAAGAACTTGTGCTTGAAAAAATAAATTTTCACCTTTTTTTTTTTTTAACTCTGCAAATCTTTTTCCACAAATAAACTCTAAGTTAAGTAGGTTACTGTTCTATTAATTCTAATTCATCAGCAGGGCTGGTAATCCTCCAGGGCACCTTCGAGCCTCCTCTCATTTTTCAGATTGGTCCGTCATTTTCTTCAATTTGCTTTGACCCTCTGCATACTCTGACGACAGTGGTTTCTTTCTTGGAACATTCCTTTGGGGTTCATATTCTCAACCATCTGGTCTGTTGTGCATCTGCATTTCTCAATCACTGGTTCTTTCAAATTTCCTCCACAATGGTTCCTTGTCCAGCAGTCTTTTTCATCATAGATTTCCTAGTAACCAGCCAGTGGTTTCCCAGTCAATGTAAGCTTCCTGCTGATGTTGACTTGGAATTTTTTCTTTTTGCCATATTCCAAACTTCCCGCATTTCTTTGAGAAATATTTAACCTTTCCCTTAAACTTTTGGCACATTCCTCGTTTTTTTTTTCCCTTCCTTTTTGCCCCCTTTCTGTATAATTTTTAATTTCTAGTTTGCCATTCCTAGAATCTTTCCTTTTACTCTGTGGGCTTTCCTGTGACATAGATGCTACCACTGAGTCAACTGACATCTCTGACGGGCTTGTACTGATCATGCCAGTGTTTCTTTCTCAGAGTTGCCAACTCTCCCGATTTAGGCGGGAGACTTCCGATTTTCGACCACTCTCCCGCCAACCCGATTTACAATATATTTCTCCCAACTTTTTCTTATTCTTAATATTTCTCAAGATTTTATGGAACTTGGCTTAATACTTCGTTATATGAACAAAAAAAAAAAAAAGATTGATTGGACGTCTGAAAGCTGAATTTCTCTAAATTATATCTAAAATGAAAACTTGCGAATCAGATGAGAATTCTGCTTTGTGATTGACAGCATACGTATCCAGAAACTTGTCTCCAGTTCTCCAATGGGCATCGAGCTCCACTGCGTGTCATCTGGCATATATTAGCAATGAGCATAAAGCAAGCTCAAGACGTGGCCGTTCTTTGGATGTTCTTTCTCTATTTCTTCATCTTGTCCTGAGTTGTGTGAGTACATGCCTTTAGGAATAGTTTTAGAAATTATCGTCTTTTTTGATATGTCTGCGAGAAAGGTGAAATATTACTCGTACACAGTTGACTTTCCTTCCATTATTTCTTCAAGGAAATGTAATAAATTTGCGATGTTGCATCTGTCGTTGCGATTTTTTGATTCGCTGGTGGAAGGCAGATGTTCTCAAACATGTGCGTACACATACACCAAGGACAACATGAGTGTGTTTTGAAAAACGAAAAATTAAATTTTTCTTCGGAAACAAAGACCAAAAAGTGATTAATGCAGAATGTCTGTTCTCTGCCTTTTTGGACACAACCTGCCACTGAATGCATCGGATCACGCTGCAGCTTTATTAGAAAAATTTCCGATAGTGAAATCGCTAAGAAATACTCAAGTGCAAGGCCAAAACGGTGCAATTGTTAAAGAAATGGGTTTGAAAAATAAATCTAGTTATTGATTGCATTAAAAACAGCTCCGTCTGCCTCTTACAGATGAAGCAATAATACCAATTCAAACTGTATCCAATGTTGTTTCTTTTTTTCCTTTTTTTTAAGGAAATGAGTGAAGAGTTTTTCTGTCCCACTTTAGAAGGACATTTGACAGGCTTTTATAGCACAAGCTATTATTAAAATTTAAAGATGCAGTCCCTTCAATAATTGCTTAGCACTTGGTGCCGATAACGCCCCAGTAATAGGCTTGATGACTGGTTGCAGGCATCTTAAGAAAGACAAATTCAGATTTGCAGATTATGAGGTGCACCTGTCACCTCTTAAATAGCAGCTGAAAAAAGGCAGCTTCTTTACCATAAATGTGATGAACACATTGTTGAATTTATTATTATCTTGAAAGGAGTTCTAAAAGAAAGGAAAATTGAAACTTTCACAGCTGCATTAACTGAAATGAGAAAATTTAAAGGGTGACACGCTGGTGTCTTAAAGAATGCTTATTAGAATCCTCGATCAAGAACCCATTCTTGCATTTTAAGAAGAGTAAATGCTTCGAGAGTTAAGATAAAAGGCTCTATTGAATTATAAATACTAAAGAATGAGATGTAGTACTACTTCATGTTAAAAATGGGTTTGAGAAAATAACGTATTCTGCTCATTCAGAATCAACTGGCAGTTCCAAATAATACTGCAAATATAAGTTAAACTGATACAAATCTCTCTCAAATAAAAAAAAATGTCACACACGAAACATTTTCGATTCTGTAAGTTTAATTTGTGAAGACGAATATTATTTTTTTTCTTCGGACCTTAACAAAGCTGTTGCTTTTTTACATCTTTTCCAGCATTCGATGTTCTGAACACAATCTACAAACAGAATTCCATTAATTTATGTTTGCAATCAATGATTTATGATCTGTTTAAAGACATTTTATCAAGTTTTGTAAAACCAGTCTGTGTTTTGTCTTGTAATTCTATATATGATGTGATTTATGGTAAAACAGAAAATCAAAGGAAGATGAAGATTGGTAAAAGGAGCTGCAACTACAAAGTAGTGGAAGAACTTTCAGAAAAAACAAAGTAAGTTTTTCTTCATGTTAGAAGTTACTTCTGTCGAGTATGTGATTACACGCTACATAAATTTCCAGTCAATGATGAAGTGATTTTGCATGCTAAAGTTGCTGCTATTTCTGCTCTACAAATGCATCTTTTCTGATATAAGGTACTTTTTGAACAGATTTCCTGTGTTGCTTCGTTTATTCATGAAAGATGATGATATTGATGTTGCTACTGATATACTTCAGTCGCATTTTGCAGTTTACATTAGAAAACTTGGATGAATTATAAAATCAGCTAGGATTGACACCCAGTGGAGGTTAATTGGAAAATTGAAAGGTGCTGATGAAATTTAAAAATATAGTGAACTCTCTAGAATTATGTTGGCCATCTTGACAGTTCCCCATAGTAATGGGAGTGTGAGAGGATTTTCAGTGTTGTTGCGAAAACGAGAACTAAATTTAGATCTAATATTAGTGATGACACATTAGAAAAAACTTTTATTAGCGAAGCAGGCCTACGTGGCAATTGCTATGAACAAAATTATGAAGTTTCTTTCTTAACGAGAGCAAAATCTGCCCACTGTCCATAACATTTGTATGAAAACTGATTAAGTGCCTTTTTTTTTTTTATTTTTTTTATTTTAAACGATGAAAGTAATAAA